CGCCGACCACTTATATATTATGAAATGGGATCGTGTGGCACGCCGACCACTTATATATTATGAAATGGGATCGTGTGGCACGCCGACCACTTATATATTATGAAATGGGATCGTGTGGCACGCCGTCCACTTATGAATTAAGAAATGGGATCGTGTGGCACGCCGTCCACTTATGAATTAAGAAATGGGATCGTGTGGCACGCCGTCCACTTATATATATATATGAGCTATGATATTGAGATAGTTTCGTCGTTATATCCATTGATCTGTATTCGCTGTATTTTTCCCGAGCATGCCCCCTTTCCCTTTTTAGTTGATATTCTCTGTTGTTATTTTCCGTTGCCTTGTATATATTTATCTGCACAGGTTATTTTTGGTAGGCCCTGTCTAGCCTCGTCACTACTTCGCCGGGGTTAGGCCAGGCACTTACCAGCACATGGGGTCGGTTGTGCTGATGCTACACTTCTGTGCTTTTTGCACAGATCATAGTACCAGAGCAGGAGCCTTTGGTCAGCAGTAGAAGCGTTGGGAGCTTACTTCAGTCCGGAGATTCCGAGGTAGCTTGCTGGCGTCCGCATGGCCGGGAGTCTCTCTTATCTCTGCTTTTCGTTTGATTTCCATTGTATCGGATCAGACAGTACTGTATACTCATTCAAACTTTGTATTTAGCATTCAGTAGAAGTTCGTGAGTTAGTGACACCAGATCTGGGTAGAGGTGTATTTTGAAATTTCGCACTTGGTTTCTATTATTTATGTTTCGAGATTTCTGCTTTTATGTTAATTGCCTCGTTCTTCTTTATTTTGCTAATGATAATGAGAAAAGTGTTAAATTAATTGGCTTGCCTAGCTCCTATCAGTAGGCGCCATCACGACTCCCGAGGATGGAAAATCCGGGTCGTGATAGAAGTAGTGGGAGGTTAATGGAGAATAGTAGTGGGTGTTACTCCTTTAGGAGTTATGGACATCCATCATAATCAAGTATTTCATAACACTCCTCCTTGGATGTCCAAAGATAATGTGCCTCATTAAAACCTTACTAGGAAAAAACCCTATGGGAAAAAATCCTAGTGAAAGAAAAAGAGTACACATATCTTGTAATACGCATTACTTGCTGCCTCATTAAAAACCTTGCCAGAAAAACCCAGTGGAATAAAACCTAGCTAAGGGAAAAAGAGTACAGTGCATATTTGCTTCCCCCTGATGAAAACATCACTTTATTCTTCGGAGACGACGAATTCCAAGCTTGTATAACAACTTCTCTAATATTGAGATCCGCAATGTCTTGTGAAGAAGTTTGTCAAATTATCACTTGAACAAATTTGCTGAAGAACTTTGGTGAATGTGCTTTATTTTGTCTCCTTCGATAGTCCTTCTTTCAATTGATATAAGCAAACAACATTATCTTCAGTATTATTGGAATCTTCTCTTCAAAGTCAAGTCACACGTCTGTTGTGTGTTGAGCCCCTTCCTTTATCAGTTGCTTATCTTGGCATGACTTGAATAAGTATCAACAATTAACTGCCTTGTAAAATGATAATATGGCAGTACTCTCACATGCAAATAGAATGTTTGAAGAACGAACTTCAGGAAAATGCCTGCATTTGCATAACCAACAAAATCTTGGCAATATTTGTTAGAATAAACAAATCTACATCAAGTATTCCTTTTGAAATATAATACTAATTGTATTCCAATATCTCCACATTGGAATAAAACTATATCTTGCTAGCATATTGTTATACTCATGGTTCTAGCCAGATATATTAGTGCACCAATTGCACTAGACACAAAAATAAATCATGTACGCCATGATCGCTCTAATCTACATAAGGATCTGCCAAAGATTTATTTAATAAATTTCTTGGGAACCTTAATATGCTTCAGAACAATTTAAATCATTCAAGGATTTTCATTATATGCATATCAAATATATTGTCAGACCAAAATTTGAAATGACTCCATTCACCACAGGAGAACATTTCTCCTAATACCAGGATATTTACAAAAATTTTGTGCCACAAGTCGTCTTTATGTCTATCGACTTGATTTTTCATTTCACTTTCAGGTGTGGGGACTATCCGTCCAACTTCACATTTTTCAGGTGAAGTCAATTTCATTGCATATTTTTCATTTGGCCAATCATTTATCTGTCCAAATTCCATGACAGATTTGAACTCAAGATCCTCGTCAATATTAATAATATTGAGCGCTACATTATTTTAACAACATCGTCGACGATCATTTTACATCGGTTCCATCATCACTCAATAAAGACATAACTTATCGAGATCTCATTATTTTCAAGTACCTGAGCCTCTCCCATGAGGTCTTATAAAGTGTTATGTCATGGTGCTCTTATAAAGCACTTGCCTCCTTATTATGACCATCTTGAACATTTGCTCCCTCCTTCTCAAGGAGTTTTATATTTGGAATCGATTTGTCTATTACGCTTCATGCGTGCCATAAACTCTATCCATCATGGACGTTATTCTATTTGGAGCATTAGCAGTTGGAATATGACATTTAGCTTTGGGTCAGCAATGTGCCTGAAAATATTTTGCAACTGAATTATCACTTGAACTTCAAGTTCATATTTTCTTGTACGAGGATCTAAGTATACTCATGATAATTCATTCCATGTATTACTTTTTTCAGCTGCTCATTTTCTCCCCCTAATGTTGGGATCACCAACACATATCCCCAACCTTCTTTGGGGACCAATCTTTGTGCATTGTGGTGACACAATTAAATCATATAATACATCCATATTTGTAGATGGAAATATTTGGTTCCTGACCCCGAACCAATTGTGACGGGGAGAATTTATCATAACTTGTTGGCTAGATGCGTATAAGTGTTGCTGTATATTAAATAATATACCTCATACCAAATTTCTATTTGCGAATTTTGTTCTCATAACAAATGGTTTAGCTATAATTGGAGGCATACAATTTCTGCTAAACCAACTTGGATTTAAACCAGCATTATCAAGATAAATTATCATAATATATATTTTGGAACTGTGCTCTAATAATTTGAGCAAACAACCTTGCAAAAACCAAAGTACAAGTTGATAACAAACGCATGTGTGACCATACAATAGATGCATCTATTAAAATCATATAATAGTAAACGGTCCACATGGCAGGTGATTGGGTCCATACATATATATCACCTTTTATTCGTTCCAGATATCAAGGGATTCAATCCCAACCTTAACTGGTATATCATGGGAAAAAAAAAACAGCACAAGAGAATTCTTGAAGAATCTTCTATTTCTTTAATATATGCCTATGTGAATTCTCAATCAATTTTCACATCATAATTGAACCGGGATGGCCAACCGGTCGTGCCAACTAATATTTGTTTCAGTAAATATTTAATTTACTATGGCATGTGATTCCATCACCATGCTTATACATCCGTAGTACAAATAGAAGAAAAATCTGGTAACCTTTCATATTTACCCGGTATGATTATAGTAATATGAAGATATTCAATCTTCCTTTCATTTATAGTCTCAATATGCCAACCTCTTTGGCTAATATATTTGAAACTCAAAAAGTTCCTTTTTGAGGCTTACTACCACCAATGCCATGAATAATTTTATTTATTCGGGTAGTAATAAATTCGCTCTTTCGGAGCTCTCAATATTTTGTACTACAAGATCTTTTATACCACCATCCAAGTGGTGAATTTTTTCTCCACAGAAAAAATTATCTTATCATTGTCACAATCAAAAACATTATAGACAAGACTTATTTCTTGCTTTACTTTTGCCTATAATAACTTTTTATAAGGCATGTCAAAATATTTTCGGTGCACCACATATACACGACAAACGACGTATTCGTGTAACCACATAGTAGTGTTCATGATCTTTCTTTATCTCAAACCTCCCGTAGAGGTGAGTTGTAGTATTTATTCAACCATGCATACACATATTCTTGTGCATAATTTGTATCACATATATATTTCACATTCACTTCAGGAATGAGTCTGCATTTACAATGCTTATCACAAGTCGCATTCTTTCAAAAAAAATGGACTATAATCGTCAGAGCGTGCCTCATATTTACAAATCATATTGATACACAATTCCTTCACCTTTGAAAGATTATTTTGAGAACCCTTATTGTTCTCCTTTTCACAATTACCATAATGATGACTATTATTATTTTGATCTTTGGCACACCCACATTCATTGGTCAACCACTTGTCTTCATTTAGACTTATTATGCACCGCTATCACATTCACTTCAAGAATGGAGCAAATCAAGTGGGGCAAACTTCATGCTTTTTCATGAAAAATACATATTTCTCTTTAGTCATCATTATATCATCAATATGGTGCACTGGAACTCAAATCCAATGTCGTACACATAAAAACATGTGTTAGGATTCAAACCCAACTCTTATAATGGTACATCAAGACAAGAAACAATGTCTTAGCCGTATGGTACGGTGGGCTTGAACCCATCTTTCTTACCCTTGCATCATCGTATTTAATCATCATAAGACTTAAAAGTATTATCACTTTCAATGGATATAAGCGTAAACTCATCTAGTGATAAATAAAACTATAGTATCTTCATCGATAAAGGGGAGAACTAATCATAGCTTTTAATATTATAGACACAAAAAAACATAAACAAATTATGCATTATATCTATTAATATTAACTCTATGCAGACAATGACGATATGGTACGTTGTCCTGTTCGTTTCCGACATAGGAGAGCATTTAATGTAATTTTTGTGCAATGTGGCAGTTCTTGTAGGGATGATCTAAATTCCGTCGACAACATCATTTTTGTGATTTTCATTGTTAGGTAAGTTTCAATCTAATACACAGTTTGCATGTTAGTTTTTAAGCATAATCATAAAATTAAAAATTTGTGGATTAGTAAACAAAAATAGCATAAAGACTCTTACCATTATATGTGAAAACAGATAAACAAATAGTTATCTGACAACCAAAAGGGTATGAGTAGGCAAGCCGCGAAAGTTAAGAAACACCTACCTCATTTAGACAAGGTACTATTGACTAGTTCTCTAAAATCCATATGTCAAACGAAACGTCGTCGTAGATATGCATTAAACGCCAGAAAAACGGTGGCTCAAACGGCGGTAAAATTAGTTGTACTCGGAGGAAACCACCGTTGAGTTGATCTCCGGTATCGTAAATGCCGAGCTCATGTAGTATTAGAGCTCTCTGGATCCTCGTCAATCAAGACACCGTTGTTTTCTCCCGGTACTTCCTCTCTCCCTGTGTGTGTGTGTGTTCTTTCTTTCTTAATTTTGATAATGGTGGTGGTGTGATGAATTTGCAGGAGATTTCCGGTTGCGGAGAAGAGGTGGCGGGCAGCGTGTGAGAGAGATAAGAGTTTAATCGAGGATGATTTGAAGTATACTGTGGTGCCTTCTCTTCCTACAGATTCAGAGATAGCTGCTGCATTCATTGACCGCAAGAAAAGGTTTTTAAAATCCTTTTTCGAATAAAGGTTTAAGCATGGGATGATAGTTTATATCTTTTAGTATTATTTATACTTGAAGAGAACATAATAGTACTATCCTTATCTCATCTTTTACTTTTTCTGGATAGTTGAGAAATTAGATGTTTCTGAGTTTCATCCCTTACTTCTACCTTCTCTGAAAAAAGTATCAAAATTTTAGGATCTAAGTTTATTTCTCTTAATCAAGTCAATGTGTGTGGTTTGGATAATATACTGAATGCTTATTATGTGTGGAGGAAATAAGTTGTTTAGGAATAAAGAATTGTGGGTTCACTACGGTCATTTATTTAGTTCTGTTTCCTAATTTAATAATCTTAGAGATGACGTGAGAGGGTAATAATCCAGTTTAAAGAACTAGACCAAATGACAAAGTGGAGCTTCAATTAGCTTGATTTTACTCTTGAGCCTTTAATTGTGAAATTTTGGTTTCATGGCTAAAAGCCAGATGCGAGTCTTGCCTAGTGAAACACATGTTTTTTTTTTAGTTCAGTTGGAGAAATGAATTTTCAGTTCAAAAGATGGATTATCAACCAAAAGTTTAAGAATTCCAAGGATAAGGAAGCCACGAGACTTTCGATCATCATTTTTATTTGTTAGACTTCAGTTCAATTCTTTCTGGTGTCCAATTCTATGATAAATAAAACATAAAGAAATCTGATCAGTACTACATGGAGAGAAATGACTATAGGGAGACCCCTCACACATCCGTCTCTTTCTCTGTGTATTTCTATTATTGCGGTCAGAGGGGATAGGTTCATGTTTGAAAGGTTGGTTCCTCGAAATTGCAAGTTGAGATTTGAATGACATCTTGAAACCATCTTCTAAAATCTAAACTCAATTTGTTGCTCTTATCTCTTTTTTGGATGGAAAAACTCAGATGTTTTGCATTTTCGTAAGTCCATTTTCTTTCTGATTCTGTCAAATTTGTGAATTTCTTGGTTATGGAAGATTCAGGTAAGAAAATCTCTAGTAATTTTCCTATTAACTTCTTCTATACAGATGTCTGGTGTTATTAGCTGTGACAGTTGATGAAGTTGTTATGGAGAGTGAAATGGCATGCAACTGCTCACTATCTGACTTTATCATGTCAAATCCGTTATCTTACTTATCGTTGACTTAGTTTCCATTGTTCTTTTTATCTTTCTTCAGTTTCATGTCCTTACATTGTAGCCATCGGAATTTCCATGAATTACAATGTATAAGTTTTTCTATAGGGAGGGATCTGCTCGTGGATTTGGCATTAGGATAAACCAGTCAGTTGAAGGTTCAGATTCCTGGGTTGATGATCCAATTACGCGTCACATAATAAGTCTTTACACTAAAAATGAACAGGAGGAAACAAATCGTACTTTGTGGCCGCTTGTTTTGCACATAAAGGACCACTACTGTATCCTTGTACTGCCTTTAGTGGAACCTCATCATCTAAAAACATATACAAGGATGTGTAAAAGATCTGACTGTGGAAATGCTGTTGGAGCAGATGAAAGTTTATCAGCCCTCCTGCTTAATCTTCCATCCATCACAGGGTAAGTTCCATCTTTACCTGTTTCAAGTTAAGAGGTAAAACTGACATTTGACATCTATCTATGGCTTAAGTTGATTCCTCCTTTGATGTAAGAGTATTCATTAGTTGTCTTTTTCCTTCTTGTTCACTACTTGATCAGTCATTAAGCTCAGCGCTCAACTGATGCTATTAAATCTCTTACCCCTTTTATCCTTGGACACATTTTCTCACTGATATTATGATATGAATGCTGCCTTCTTTCATATAGGCAGATTACTTTCCTATTTTCTCATCCTAAGTGCAACAACTGTAATTTATATATATTTGATGTCTCGACCTGAGTTTCCAATGTCTAAATTCTATCCTCAGTGATCTATCCTGTTAAGGATCTATTTTACAGATGAACTTCTCCACTTGGCTTGCTTTCTGTTTCCATTTAATCTTCATATGAGTTTTTGCCATACAAGTCTCTGAATGCAGAAAAAGATTAATTCACCATATGGCTGTTATTGGTTCTGGTTTTCTTGGGTCTAGTGATGCTTCTCTGAGTTGTTTCATTTTACCTGATATGTTATTCCTTTCCTGTTTTCCCTCCTTTTCTCTTGCTTGAAATATTCATGTGCAGTATTCAAGGAAGGCCATTAAAATTGATAGAAGCTCCTCGATTCCCTCGCTACTTTTGCATGTATAAATGGGCATATCTGAACATAGGAGTACACATTCATCATCTCTCCTCCTTTTCATCTTCCATATTAAGCTTATATGATTTATCTGGTAACTACCAAAAAAGGTTTTATCTGATATCTTTTTTTCTTTTTGTTTGATGGTATCGGTGCTGTCGTAATAACATTTGACTTCGTAATCTTGTTTGGTCCATAATATGTATTATAGGTGGACTAACGTCAACTTTCAGGTCAGCTATTTGCTCTTCAAGTTTCAAGAAATTGTACAAGTATAGAAATCTTTTCGAAATTGTAACCCCTGCCAAGAGAGAAATAAAGAAAATTAATGCTTGAGAGAGTGAAAGAGTAGGAAGGTAAAAGATATTTTGACATTAAACTAGTAACAGTTTGTTTGCCAATTAATTTTAATGTGAACATGCTTTACTATTAATCTGTTGCTTTGACCCAAAAAAATGAAATGATAATTTTAAAAACAACAGTAACAGTAATAATATTATGATTTAGTGCATACTCTCCACACTGAACTTGCAAAAAAATTCCGACACGCCTTAACTTTGCTGGGGACTCATTACACACCCCAACATGTAAAAGGAGTGGTCTGAGACCCCCTTACATTGCCACGTTGTTTGTGCGTCTTTAGTAGATAATGGAATGGCATGAAATGTTAAAAAGTGTGTTTGAGACCTCATTTCACTACCATGTGTCCAACATTTATATTCTTTCTTTCCTTTCTTTTAAAAGGGCCATCTTCTTCCCCATTTTCTGCAGACCTCCATTACTATTTTTCACCATCTTCTTCCATATTTTCTTACCGACTTCTTGCCTAATTAGTTTAAAGTTATCCAAAAAAATCAATTGTTATTTCCAGTAATGTTTGATTATAATAAAGCACGCAAGTTAATTACATCTGCCTAACAAAACTCCAGCCATTCTGCAGCACCGTAAAGACTTCCTGCTTTTTAGAGCAAACAATGAGAACAAAGTCATACATACTCAAAGAAGGGGGGGGGGGGGAGGGGGGGGAAGAGTAGAGTAGTAGAGTACGT